AAAATTGCTTCAACATAGAACACATTGATTCTTTCCTCTTTCAACAATTTCATTGATTAATATAAAATACCTTTGACAAATTGTATATTTTACTTTATTATTATTTTGATTAATGATAATTTCATATTGAACTATTATATATATATATGTGAATGTGAAATTTAAATGTGTTGGATAGAATTAGTTTTGTTTTTCCATTATAATTCCAATTGTAGTTCTTCACTTCAAATTAATATTTTTTAGAAATAATCTATTTTTAGAACATTTTGAACTTTATTTACTGTTATGATTAAAAGTGTCATATGGCAAATTTTCTTGGGATTTTATGTCAAATAAATATTCAACTTTAAAAATATTCACACAGTAGGCAAGCTTTTAGTGATCAAAAAATATGAATTTAACACAAATTCATGTTAAAATGAATTGGAAAAATGGATTAAAAGGTTAATAAAATAAAATACTAAATGAACTAGATATAAATTATAGGAATATGACTATAAAACCAAAATTTAAAAAAAAAAAACCATCCATTTTAGTTTTTGATGTTGCTTTTCTGCCTAATGAATGCAACAACTGCTTGATATTAACAGTGTCATGTATAGTACTATAGTTTGTTTGTTTATGATGAAACTCATCAGGAAGGTAATCACAACTTGGAAAGACTTGATGGCATCACTAAATTTTGGCACTACTCTTGAAATAGTGTCAGAATGTTCACTAGGTGCGTCCTGAATTGTATCAGCTTGCTAATTCTTCAGTTGTACATATTCAAGGTGTAACAAGTGCATTATTGAACTCTACAAATTCATGGAAATGCCCAAATATTAATTAACTATAGAAAAAAAATGCAAAGTTTACAATAAATGGGGGCTAGAAAAAACACATTATTCTGAGTTACGGATTTGCTAAAATGAGGTAAAATTACATTGATTTGGCAGGACCTGGTGGGAAAAAAATGTTATTCTGTGAAATCCTTTGTTCCACAACCTGTTAAAACAAAATTTTACTGTATTTTTTGCTTCAATCTTCTTTGGATCATCGGTATGCAGTTCTAAAGAAGAAATATTTTATTTTTTCAGTTCTGAAAAGATAACAGTTTCTCTCTTCTCATCTCTTACTGTATTGTACAGTACATTTAATTATAGCCATCTAGTCTAATTGTACCACATATTATGTTGTTATTAGAGAGGTTGAGGCGCACGTTTTAAACGTGTAAACGTGTACGTGTGACGTTCGGCGCCGCTTTCCCGTAAGCCTAAAAGTTTGACAATGGTGTTTGGATAGTCTGTGGAATCACGCTCGACATTTCAAACACCATCGTCAAACTTTTAGGCTTACGGGAAAGCGGCGCCGAACGTCACACGTACACGTTTACATGTTTAAAACGTGCGCCTCAACCTCTCTAATAACAACCAAATANTTTCCGAACAATGTTTACCTATACTGTATTTATTTATTCCGTTTTTTATGGATATGCTTAAATAAATTAATTTTTGGTCATAATTTCATAATTACGAAGACCAGTATGAAACATAATATTCAAATGTTATCGTACTGCATAGAAATAAATATTTAAATTTAATAATGACGAAAGTGCACATCATCTCCAATCGTGTTAATGAAATTTTAATTTCAGCTGACGAAAAAATTCAAGTTAGAATTTTTGAATTTCAAAGTACCGTAAACATTTCTATAAAACATAGAAAAAGGAGGATGTTTAATCAATCGCCATATCAAATTAAACCTCGCGTATGGTATAGATCGAAAATTGTATTTGAATTTGAATAAATGTTTTCTTAAATTTCTGTAGTTCATTCACATTTAAATTACTGATTATATTTCTGAAAAATTAGTTTTAAACATTCTCGATAAGTTGTTTTATAATACTTAAAAAATACGTTTCCAAAACAAATGATTTCAAATTATAATTGATAATACCACCTATGATGTAACTATTCATATGTACTGTACTGCAGTGATAAATTGAACAATTGGTCATCTCGTTAATATTTATTGAGCACTGTCAAACAGATTTTATTAGCATATATTAATGACATCTAAATATGATTTTATTGAGAAAAATGTCAAGCGAATTTTCTTATTCGGACTATTTATTTCATTTTGAACAGAAAATTGAAAAGATATTTATCTTTATAATAAAGCCTAAATAAGGTTTATTTTTTTTTATGAATTTATTACTTTCTTATTAATTAAGCTGTTAGTCTTAATAGAAACAATAAACGAGATTAATAAAAATACGTTAATTTTACCGAAGAACTGTTAATTAATTAATATTCATTTGTAAAAAAAATATACGAGTATATTTAAGATTAACAGTCTGTCTGCATAAAATTTTATTCGTAACGATGATCATTTGAAATAATAAAAATGGATTTAAAGATTTGAATGAAAAACAGTTTAAATAATCGACTCATCGGAGCAAAGGATTACAGGAAAATTGAGAAATTCGTTTTACTTTCTTAAAACTGTGAAATTCTAATGATGTCAGAACATAAATCACCCGTTAGTATGTAAATAGTCAAGTAGTTCGTTGCAACTTGGCATTTATCTACTTCTCCGCGCGTTATACAAGACAATTCCTCTCTTCTAAGCGGAAAATAAAAATAAGCGTATCAATGAAGAAACTATTAATGAAAGGATTGAATATTTATGTCTGGAATTATAATGAGAATGCTTTCATAACGTTTTCGTATAATCCTTTTGTCTTTGATTGAAGTATAATCGTGCAATAAATTTTCAATCCGAATTTTTTTTGAATGTATCAAATTGAAATGAAATTCAAGATAAAATTAATACAGTATTAACTTAATTCGAAATTACATTTTCGCTGTCAATAAATAAATTTTATTATTTGCAATCGATCCGAAAGAAAGTTATTATTTCATCACCAAGTCAATTACGGTATATAATGTAAATTAAGCCGTCGGTTACATTATCATATTATCTAGGTTATTTGATGTAAATATTTTTAATCGCTCTTTCCCGTATTTCGTTAATTCCAAATGGAGCAAAACGATCTGTAGTTGATCTTTTTGTAATAGAAATAAACGGATGTGTCTCGCTTCACACTCGACCTACGTAAACATTATTTATGGACGTGACGTTCGCTATTTTAGAATTATTCATACTATCAATAATGAAGTCCGTCTGGTGAAATACGCAGACGTAGTGAGAAAAGATAATCAGACGAGTTAAATTTAGATATATAGAAGTAGACGGCTATGGGAAAAGTAACCGACTCTCCTGAAATGCCTAATCGATCATTAGATTATGTAACGAACAAAAATTCGTACCCACTGAGGTACACCTGACTGAACTAAAAGAGGTGACTCGTCAAATTTTCCACGTATAGCAGCGTCACGTTCACCTTTCTCCGCGTTTCCGGTTTGAGTCAGCCAGCCAGAGCAACTGAGTCAATACGTTCAAATAATAGTAATTTTTCTGGATAATGTTTGGCACTTAAAACAAAGGATTTCAATGTTTTTCTAAGTAACTTTAAAATTCTAAATATTCTGTAGAAACCGTTACATCATCGTAAACTTAAAATAGCATACTTACAAGTTAGTTGCATATAAAATAAACAAAACTGTTATCCAAGTTAATAACAGAATCAGAAAGGACTAGTGTTTTTATTATTTTTTTTTTTAACGAAATTTACTTTCGTTTGTACAGAATTCATTCTTAAAAATTATTTAAATTTATTGATTTCTTGAGTTTAATACTGTGTGCAAAAAATCACAGGAATTTTATATTATGACTAGAAGTATACATATACTGTATTTATTTATTCCGTTTTTTATGGATATGCTTAAATAAATTAATTTTTGGTCATAATTTCATAATTACGAAGACCAGTATGAAACATAATATTCAAATGTTATCGTACTGCATAGAAATAAATATTTAAATTTAATAATGACGAAAGTGCACATCATCTCCAATCGTGTTAATGAAATTTTAATTTCAGCTGACGAAAAAATTCAAGTTAGAATTTTTGAATTTCAAAGTACCGTAAACATTTCTATAAAACATAGAAAAAGGAGGATGTTTAATCAATCGCCATATCAAATTAAACCTCGCGTATGGTATAGATCGAAAATTGTATTTGAATTTGAATAAATGTTTTCTTAAATTTCTGTAGTTCATTCACATTTAAATTACTGATTATATTTCTGAAAAATTAGTNTAATAAAGTGTCAGCTTCCTGAAATAAGTAATAGTTTGATTCATTTATTTATAATTTTGTCATTCTTTATATAATAATTTATCATCATTTAAAAATGTAAAAGATCAATATGGATGTTGACCAATGTGCTTATTTATTTTAAAATATATTTTACATTGTTATTTTAGTTGTCTGTTTTTCTTTAATCCTAGTTCAGAATATCACTTAATGAGATAATTATTCAATTGCTAAATAATTTTGTCAAGTTATTCTCTTATTGTGATTGCATCTAATTGTTATTGTAATTTAAAGCTTTAATATTTGATAAATTATGTATGATTAGCTATCAAATATAATTTGATATTGGCAGCTATGTATAATTTATAAGTAGTACAAATATGCTTAAGCATATTGCATGCTACATTATAACGTACTTATTTTGATGATATGAACATTAACTTTATATTTATGATTAATGGATACTTTATTATTGACATTGTGATGTTCTTTATGTTATACTGTACTTAATATTTGAATTTTTTTTCTGCTTAATATTACTGTATACATAACTTATATTAATAGATATTTTACACTAAATTATTTAATCATATTTACTAAATCTAAGTAATATAAAATTTATTATAGTTTTTAGAAATAATTATTAATATATTTAAAAAAATACTTTTCTAACAATTTTGAAATAAATANTTAAATTATTTCTTAAAATATATTAAGTTTATAAATTTTTCAAACTGCATTCTGAAAGCTTTAAGCATATTCTCATAATATATATATATATATATATTTTTTTTAGAAAATGTCCTTCCAACTTAGCATTGGCAATGGCAAAACATGTTTCTCAAAAAATGAATGAATTTGCTCATCAAGATAAAATGCAATGCAATGGAATGGCACAAACAGATGGTGGTACATTATGTAAGTATTTATTTAAGTATTTAATACCGTAAATCCTCCAATAGATGCCAGGTCTCTTATAAATGCTAGATATTTAATTTAAACTGCTAAGTAGATTCTGGATGTCATTGAATTCCTACATGTGGCTTGCAAAGCTTAACAGTGCTTTATACATGTAATTTTCCTGTGGAAATCCTTGAAAAATATTCTTACTGTTACATTTGCAACTGTAGTCACAATAATTAATATGTGAGTGAGACATCTTCATGTATTTTCTCTTTTAAACTGTCCATTTTACACAGATCAGTGAACTAGACATCAGTCTTATAGCATTGCCTTCAAGTTGAATGTAGTTGTGTATGCAGAAGAATATTCTGGGGAAGCATCAGCATCCAAAGTGAATCTGTGATTGGAAGATGCAAGTGTGATGCTCTTAAGGCTATCAAGAATAAGAGTGAAGCAAAGAGGCTGGCAGGGGGGAGAGCACAAGAAGTTCAGTGAAGAACTAGAAGAAAAGGTTCTGCAGTGGACCTGTGAGCAGTGAGAGAAAAATAACAGTATCTCCAGACAGATGGTGATGGACAAGGCAAGAGAAATCTTCACTCAGTTAGATGAAAGTGATAAACAAAATTCAGTGTTCAGGGCTAGCAGAGGGTGGTTAGAAAAATTCACAAAACATAGATATGATAATACCATAATAACTTTATGCTTACAGTAGTATTGCTGTTAGTGCGCAGTAGTGTACTTTTATGTTAAATAAAAAGGAAAATTCTTGTTCTGCAGTTTTCATTATTTGGGGAAACCATGGAGATAGTGCTGGAAAGAAGAATGAACCACATTTCCCTTTTTTTATATCACTAGTTTGGATGCAAAATTCTGCAAGAATGGAATAGGTACCCAGTCTTTTATACATGCTGGGACCTAAGTATTAGGTTGTCAAGGATGAAATTTGTAGTTAATAATATTGCCAACCATCGAGTCTGATCCATCTCTGAGTGCCTATGAATTATCGTTGAAGTTTAGTGTTAGCAAACAAACAATATTATCTCATTTAGCTAAATTGGTAAAGTGAAAAAGTTGGATAAATGGGTTCCACATGAACTGAATGAAAAACAGAAACAAAAGCATTTGGAAGCTTTCTTAATGTTGCTTTCTTGTCAGAAATCTGATCCATTTTTGAATTGAATTGTCACATGTGACAAGAAATGGATCCAATATGACAATTGCAAACATTCAGCACAGTGGTTGGACAAGGATGAATCACCAAAATACACTCCAAAGTGCAATATTCATCAAAAGAAGCTGATGGTGAGTGTTTGGTGGTCTAGTGCAGGTGTGATTCATTTTGATTCAATGAAACTTGGCTCATTGATCACAGCAGAAATATACTGCAATCAACTGGATGAAATTATGTCAAAACTTAAAAACAGCCTAGATTGGTCAACAGATCGACTCCTATCTTATTGCATGATAACACTAGCCCACACACTACACAAATGACTGTGGCAAAACTACAAGAATTGGAGTTGGAACTTCTTCATCATCCTCCATAATCACCAAACCTAGCCCCCCACTGACTACCACTTCTGCAATTTGGACAACTTTTTAATAGGAAAACAATTTAATTTCAACAATGCTGTAAAACTGATCTTCCAGGAATTCATTGACTCTTGTCCGCCGGGATTTTATACCACTGGTCTGAACAACCTGCCGCTTAAATGGCAAAAGTGTATAGACAATATGAGTGCATACTTTGATGGATAAAATAATTCCTTATATTTGTAAGTTATCAACCAACTTTGCCTTTTTTTCCACAAATTTCATCCTTGACAATCCGATATATTCTGTCCCATAAAAACCTAGTCATCTAAGCTATTAAGAGGATTTACAGTATCAGTATATTTATTATTAATTGAACATTAATGATTATTTTTAAACTAATTCTGTATTTTGCAAAATTTAAAATATTTCAAAAGTAATGGCTTAGTTTATAGTTTTGAAAAAATTATTATTATTCTATAGCAACTTTGATACATTACTTTATATTGATTTTAATATTTTTTTTATATATTTTAGAAACAAATTCTTGTTTGTTCATGTAATTTCTTCATTTTCAATAATTTTTTGCCACATATATATTCATACAATAAATTTATTCTTAATATTTCCTCAGCAAATTTTTCATTGCTGGCAAAAACATGTCACCATCAAATTTTATATTACAAATACTATCCTTCGGCACAGTGGAAAAATTATGACAGTCTGATATGACTGTCATAATTGATATAATAGTGTAAAACAGAAGTGATGACATAAACCATACAGCATTAATGATAGCTTTTTAATAAATATTCATATATTATGTTACTATGAAATTAAGATCAGATTTGAAATACAAATTTTTTAGAAAGGTTTTCTGTCTCTTGAATAATATAAATTTCTTTTCTCTCCTGTTAATATCAAATTTAACTTTGGTCTTATATCTTGAGCATTTGTTGTGAGCTGTTTTAAAATTTTTAATTGAATAAATTTTGTAGAAAACATAACAGTCCGTATTTAATAATTGCATTTTATTCAGAATTAATACATATTTTCCTTTGCAATGATATTGCTAGTACAACTCAAAAAACTAAATTTTCAGAAAGCTTTGAAAATTTTTATTTTACTAAAATGTGGAAATTTGTCAAGCAAATTCTTCAAACTGAATTTGATATGATTTGTAGATTGAAGAATCCTATTGATCTTTATGGATTTCTCATGGATGTGATTTGATTAAGAAAATTAACTTGCTCCATCCCTGATTATCCATAACTATATTGAGTTATGTCATTCTTGAAAAATATTGCTGTAATTTTTGAGTTATCACTCATTTTGTATCTTTTTGTTGTTATTGTTACTTGACTCCTAAAGTTCTTGAGTATGAATTATTCTTTCCAGTATTTCTGTAAGAAGTTGTTTTAATTTTGTATCTTGTAATAAATACAAACATTTTAACAAATCCCAAATTTTACTTAATCTTAATTACAATAATATGGAAAAACGAACAGAAAATTATTTTAAAAAATTACATTAAGCAAATAAATTGCATAAAAAGTATTATTATACAAAAAGTCCGGAAAATGTGAATAGAATTTTTTTTAAAAAAAGAATTTTATAATGCATTTTAGAGATGGTAACTTCCAATATTGTAGGATATGAATATTATTGGAATATTCTGAGTTTTATTTTGGATACATTAAGAATTCAGATTATATTTACCATATTATATCACTTTGCCTGGAAATTTTCATTACTGATTAATGCTTTTGGGCACTGCTGATACTCAAGATTATATAACACTAAATTAATTTTTAAAAATTATTATTTTCAACATTTATTGTTGCAACTCAAGCTTGCATGACATTTTGAATTGCACAGTTTATCAGCAGATCAACACTTTGTTATTTTGGCATTTTGTTTTGTAATGGTATTGCTGATACTCCTGTGATACAAAGACATTTTTAGATGATGGTGCCTCCTCAAACTTATTTCTTTGCCAGTTGATGATCTTAGTATGTCATTCAACACCAACATTTTTTCCTGACAAGAAAAACTGAGAACATGAATACTTTTGTTTCAGAATAGTGGTGGGGATGCTTGTAATGAATAAATAGTGTTTCAAATTTTAATTACCTTTTAATAATCACAGAATATGTTGAAATAGATAATATTTTTCTAATATGCCTGGAAAAACTTAGAAAGTTTGTAGGTGGTGTCTTCAACATCTTACTGCAAATAAATTTCTTGAACAACCTGTGGCACAGAAATGATTGATTAAAATTCATCACTTGACTTTCAAAAAGCTTATAATCACTTAATATGAAGTTGTACATATATGTCTACTCTGTAGTATAGAAGGTGCCGGTAAATATAAATTAAGAGAAATAACATAACAATAGTCAAACAGAAGACTGAGACAAACAATAATATTCAGTTGTTATTACTTAACTTAGTAGAGCAATAACATTATTGACAAAACATTATTCTCCAATATTCTTAGGTGATAATGCCATTGACTTTATTTCTCATGTTAACAACAATTCCTATAACAACTTAATTGTGAAATTCAGCCATTCAAGCAGAGTTTGGATGCATGTAAGATACACAAAGGCACAAACTTTCATACTGATGTCAGTATCATTCACTTACATATTAATGTGGACTTCAGTCTTATTCAGCTCTAATAACAGTGTACACATCTTCAATGTTAGTATACAGTCTTCTCATCTCCCTTCTTATCATAGAAAGACAGCCCTATGTTCTTGGTAATATTTGAATGTTCAGTCGCCTTAAATATGTCGGTATAGCCAGTATTAATAATTTGAGCAAGAGCACTTTGTTAATCTTTAGGATTGAACTTCAGCTCAATTATTATTCTCGTCATCCCACAAATTATCAGAACATCAATTCTTCCTTGTCCTTTTTTTTTTTGTCTTTTTCTTCACATGTACTTCAGTATGTATGTCCAACTTTTGGATGTTGTATGCTAAAGTGAAGAGGATAGAGTGAAGTGCATCTTCATTATCAGGCACTTTTGCATAACCAGAAGAAAGTATGGTCACTGATGATGCAAGTTGAATGAAGTTCGCCTCTGTTGCATCAGCTACCACATTCTGCAACACGTTTTGATAGTCACCAATACAATTTTCATCAAGACAATATTTTTCTTTCCACAAGTCTGCATTGTATCAATGATCAATAAGTTCTGTTTTGACTTCCAAATTAGGTACTGTACACTCAAAATGTTATGCTTATCACTTTTGTTTGGATCTGAATCTTTGTGTTTCACTGAACTATTAAAGTATTCACTATCAGCTAAAAATCATAGAAACAAATCAGCCTTACTAGTGGATGGAGTTAGGTTGTTTAACTTCATCACATCCTTCAACAACATTATGACTTCAACTGTCACTGATTTGAAAGTTCTTATTTTGACCTCTTCAGCATTGATAAGTCTTTGGATGCATTTTTGTATCTCCATGTTTGCAAACAGGTTTGTCATATTCTTTACATATTCTGTATCAACCCAGTAAGTTTTAAAAAATGACACTTGTTTCCATTTACATTCCTCTGTTTCCATGATTTTCTTCTAGATAAGTTTCTGATCCAAGACATTTAAGATTGAACACTTCATCCCCCACTTGCTGTCTTGTACCCACCATACCAAGAAACAATCTTCTCCCGTTTTCCTCACATCAACTCCTTAAATTCAGGTTTCTCCAGCAGCATATTGACATCTTCAGTTGTGAACCCATAAAACTGGGAAAATTCACTGGTTACATTTAGGAATTCACAATAGTGAATGACACCTTGTGCATCTCCTGAAAATTTACCTGCCAATCTCACACACATATGGCATATGCGTGTGAGATTGGCAGGTAAATTTTCAACCCGCATATGGAACGAGCATTGATCAATGCTCGTTCCATATGCGGGTTGCTTTTCAATTTTTCTCCCATCATAAAATTATTTTGCAAAAATTTAATATATTTTTAAGTAGAGGAAATAAGTTGAATGTTATCCATTTCTGTTCAGTTGTGGAATATTCATGTTTAATGGACAAATTTCAATATTTTGTTCATATTTTTGTCTGTATCTTAATTTTATATTTATCAGTTATAGTAATTGTGATGAAATGATTTTTGATTAAAAATTATTAATCTGTTAGCTTTAGAAGCAGTTTATCTTCATACTCAGACAATACATCAATTGTATGATTTGGCTGAACAGTTACAGAAAAATCCTGATCAAATGCTAACAATGACTTCAGTTATTAAATCACCTCAATATGTGACATCCATTTGTACTATTAAGAATGGAAGAAGAAAAATGGAAGATAGGTATACAATAATACATGATTTAAATACTGTTTGTGGATTACAGGTATGATTATTTGTTATAAATTAAAAACCTTAGTAATTTAAATGGCTTTTTAATTGAGAAAATTAAATTTTTATTTATAAATCTTTTAAATACACATTATTTTTATAATAATGTGTATTTAAAATTAGAACTGTTAGAATTAGTACAAATAGGAAAATATTTATTAAGTATAGATATTTGTTTGTATGCTTGTAAAGATGAAATTTTAATTATTAAATAATTTATTGTCTGTTTGTTAATTAATATTTTCAGAAAGAGTTAACTAGTAATCTTACTCGTATATATAGTTTTGTATATAAAGTTATAAAGATCAATCTTGAAATAATTTCCAACAAAAAAATAAACTTAATTACTAATAATAGAGAACTAGAAAATTTCTATTTATGCCTAGTTCAGCTACATGAATAAATAGACTCTCCATGCTTTTTAATTTTTAATTTAATTCTTAAAGATACTGTAAATATGAAAATACAGTTTATATCAGAGATGCTTAAATATTACATAATATCAATATATTGGGTTGTTCAGAAAGTACTTTTTGTTTTTTACCACAAGAATGCTTTGTTGTATATTTATCCACAACTTCATTTTAAACCATATTGTAATTATATATTTTGACAACCGATATATCAAGGTTTATTTGTAAAAAGTTTGTTTGATTCTGTGCAATTTTTGTTTTTGGTCTCATCAAATAAAGAAAATTGAAAGCAGCATTTTCAGCATATTTTGTTTTTTTATTACCCAAAAGGTAAAAATGCTGTTTAATTTAAGCAAAAAAAAATTGTGTGACAGGTATGGAGAAGATGTGTTGACAGAATGATTGCCAAAACTGATTCACAAAATTTTGTTTTGGCAATTTCAATATTGAAGATGCACCACGTTCTGGAAGATCTTGTGTACATGCCCCTCTACCATGTGATTTAGCACAGTTGCAAAAAAGAATCATCCATGCAATCAATGATATTGACAGCAAGATGTTTGAATGTAGGTAACAGGAACTTTAATACAGGATTGGTTTGTTGCATCTCGGGAGGTGGACATACAGAGCACCTGTATGATATGGCCAAAATGTGGAGAGATTCTCTGCTTATTGATATGAGCCATTTTGCTATGTCTGCTTTGGTTATTATTCTATTGAGAGCAGAAACCTCAGAGGGACTTATGAATTAGAGGGACCCTGTATTAAAAAGTAATATGTAGCAGGTCAGGATGGCAGATGGAATTTCTGGAAAATGCTTAAAAACTATATTTTTATAAATTTTCAATTTCAAAAGATTGAGAAAATAAAATGCTTTAGAATATTGGTTCTATTAATCTAGCTTGAAACCTTAAAATTGAATATTAAAATTTGTTGATATCTTTGAAATTCTTGCTGAATTTTTTTTCTTAATTTTCTAATACAGAGGAACCTTGATAACTGGTCATTCACAGGACTGGAAAATACTGACCATTTAAGCAGTGTGTTTACATAGAGGCAAAATATTTTAATAATTAAAATAAAGTTTTTATTTACTAATTTAAAATTATGCAGTTTTATCCTTTTTTTTTTCATCCTTAAGACAAAATGTAATTTGAGGATTTCATGATAATTTGTGAAAGTTGTTTTTGTGAACTTTATTTCTCGTAATGATTAATTCTTCTTCTTTCCATGTGATATTAACTTGATAGTTCCCAGATATTATTTACAAAAAGTAGCCAAAACAAGGAAAAACTGTTTAAATTCAATTTGAAAGACATAATTGCCTAGTTATTTAAAGTGCAGTGATTAGCAAAGTGCATAAATTTTCATAATAAAATGCTTAGATCCTACACCCTTAGCCATTTACTTTTAATGAAAAAATATTGATTCATTCCTGTGAAAAATGCATTTTTTGTAAACAGAAAAAAAAATATTAGTTTTGAATTTTTTTAACTTGTGGTTGGGTCTAATGATAAATTAATGACCAGGATGGGAAATTGTCACCACTTAGCTAAGTGAGCAATTATTGACATTTGAATGTCAATAATTGTAAAACTAGAAAGCCTATGATTTTATAAATAATTTTGTAGAAGATATGGTTAACAGAAAAATAGACAGTTCATTAAATAGGTCTTGTATACTTTTTACTAATAATTTACAACTACTGTAGAATAGTTAGACCTTGACTTTGATGAGACAGTTAATGTGATTCTTTGCAAGTAAATTTTATTCTTGTGAAATTATTTTACAGTAGCTAAGTGGAAAAGAGATATAAAAGAAAACATCTTATTAAAGCAAATACATAGAGGTCATACTATTTTACAAACTGTTGCATTAGTTTCTTATATTTAGAAAATTTTTTTCTATTTCATTAGGAGTTGATAATCACTGATGTAAGATAACTTGAAAACTTGGCCTTTGGCAAACATTTTGCTTTACTTGCATACTGTATATTAAAATAATTTACATAGTCTGTTGTATCTGTAGAGTTTAAAACAGAAATCATTTGTATTGGATATTTCTACCATTACATAGCACAAACCCAATGATAGAATTTTACTTTCCAGTAAAAAAATAAATATCATCATGATTAATTTATGACTAGATTATAGTGTGCTGTATATCCAGTTTTCAAACTAATCCTTTTCATAGTATGCAAAAAAAATAAGATATAATTTATTGATTCTTTATTTTAGATTTTATTAAAGTTTGAATTTATATTGTTCACTTTTTATTGTAGAATACTCCACAGTTCAGTTATTATGGTGTTTTTGATGGTCATGCTGGCATTCGAGCTGCTAATTATGCTGCTTCTCATTTACATGAGAATATTGTTAATCATCCAGACTTTACAACTGATATTACAAAAGCAATAAAAGAGGGATTTCAAATAACAGATAATCAAATTGTAGAAAGATCAAAAGGAGAGGTTTGTATAATTTGATATAAAATTATTTTAATTTCAAAAGTTACACTAGAGTTTTGGATAGCATCATCATGTTATAAATAAATAATGTATTTATTAAATTTATATATATTTATTTGAAGTTGTTTTTCTGTTCTGATTTTTAAATTTTAGAACATAAGCATAATAATTTTGTTACTCATCAAACTAGTCTGCATTAATCATTTATCTGCACAATTATGTGAATAAAAAGTGTTTTTCTTTTTTTCTATTTTTTTTTTTTTTACATACNTTTCTGTTCTGATTTTTAAATTTTAGAACATAAACATAATAATTTTGTTACTCATCAAACTAGTCTGCATTAATCATTTATCTGCACAATTATGTGAATAAAAAGTGTTTTTCTTTTTTTCTATTTTTTTTTTAGTTTTACATACATAATATTGAATTATTGAAATTCTTCTTAGTTTAGAATTTAATTTAACATACATTATTCTGTGAGGTTTTACTAATTTTTTGCTAAAATTATTTGCAAACTAAAAAAACAGTATTGTCATTAGGAATATATACATTTGCAAACTTTAACTAGTTAAAGTTTGAAGGTGAAAATTAGTAGGTGGTAGGATGTAGGTGAAAATTGAGTTACAAGATTTCATCTAGATAGACAAACAAACAAACAAAAAAAAAACAGAGTAAGTTAATAAAGTGAATAATTAAGAACAATTTTGGGACTCTGTATCTACTGGTAAGAATTTAGAAACTTAATTATCTCTTCTTTAAGTTCAGTTTCATCAATACCACCATCATCACCATACTTTAATGCTAAATATAGGTTATTGTAATATTTATCAAGATTATTGTACTGTAGTCTAAATATTTGAAATCAAAAATATTCTATGAAAAGTTAAAATTTGTAATGTTCATTAAAACTCCTTGACTTTTTGCAAAATTACAATTTTGTGCTGTTGTGGAAAGTAGATGATAATGTAACATGGCACATTTTTATATTTTTGTTTAGATTCATACAAAAATTAATGAAAATTTACTGCTAATTTTTTTCTGTTTTATTTATTTGCTCTTAGCCTACATTGGTTAACTTGGTCTGGATGTTCACAATTTATTGTATTTTTTTTATTCAGTAACACTAACCAATATTACATATTATAGACAAGTATCAAATTTGCGTTATTTTTTTTATTGAAGAACTAGCCTCAAATTCAGTTTCCATTCTTGTTAAGGGTATAAATAACTTGCCATTGCTTTTAGTTTTGATAATATAACAATTAGTTTCCATGTAATGCACAAAATCAAAAGTTTAATCATTCCTTTCAGTGCTCTGTAAATTGTGCCACCTATTATTTGTGCATAAAATAAAAAATGAAGAAAATTTAAAAAGTGTTAAACATAAAGAAATTAATTATTGATGAAATAAAAAGAGGGCTAGATTATGTCAGGATGCAAATTTCCAGGGATAGCCATGGAACATAAATTATAAAGAATGAGAGAGGAAGATCAGGAGAAACCTGGAAAGAAGGTATATGAAAAATAATGGAGTAGAGAGACATTATGGAAGAAAATAAGTATGAATAGAACAGAGTGGAAAAGTTCTTCATTGCACTTGGTTCACTTCATTACACTAGATAGTAATAAGAGCTATCTTAAAAAATGTTTTATTTTATTACTATTGATGGAGTCATATGTGATAAAAGTAGTTATTTTTTAATATTTACACATGAATAAAAGGAGTTCTAATAAAATTTCATTAGATTAAATGTAATTTCATAAGAATAATGATTAGTTTTTTAATATATGTTTATTTTTAAATAATTTTATGGTTCTGCTTTTGTTTTAAGAATAATTTTTGTAATTGTCTATAACTGATAAATTATTTGTGGCCCTTTCAGAATACCAAAAGTGGATGCACAGTAGTATGTTCATTTATTCAGGAGAATGCTTTATATGTAGCATGGGTTGGAGATTCTCAAGCTATTCTTGTCAGAGAAGGTGACCCATACATTATTACAAATCCTCATAAGCCTGATAGAAAGGTAAATTAAACATGCGAAATATATTATTTTAAAATATAGTTAGTTTATAAGTGAACATTTTATGTTGTTTAATATATTCTGTTTAACTAGAGGAAATCAATAAATTACAAGTATAAACATCTAAATCTGAACAATGTCAATCACTTAGTGATAGTATGCCAACAAGAATAAAATCTGTAATTATGAATAAAGGAGATTTACCCTACTATTACCGTGTTTCCCCGAAAATAAGACAGTGTCTTATATTAATTTTTGCTCTGAAAAATGAGCTAGGTCTTATTTTCAGAGAATGTCTTATTTTTCCAGGAAGAAGAATTCACATTTATTACTGAACAAAAAAATTCCCAAGTCGAACTTAGACGAGAGTGACGTATATCAGGTGTGAAGAACTGTCGCCTTTTTATAGCGTCAACACCGGACTCGATGACCAATTAGTGCTTACTGAACCGTAGCACTATGCAAATGTCATGTGGCGTGATTCCCGGCCGACTAATTAGCCATCACCAGCCGTAACATTATGCAAATCTGTGATTCCCAAGCCATAGTCTTATGCAAATCATGCTGTGTGGCGTAATTGTCTGCTGACCAATCAGTGGCTGTACTTTCAAAAAGCCAACGGCCACTTTCAACCATCTGTCGATGACCGTTACGACTAAAAAAAAACTTCGCTAGGTCTTACTTTCAGGGGGAGGTCTTATATTTCGCAATTCAGCAAAATCTGTGCTAGGTCTTATTTTCGGGGAAACACGGTAGAATAAAATATTCTACATTTTTTGAACATTGTTTACTTAAGTAAAAAATTATGACTCTTTAACACTTTATTTAGAAATTAATATTTTTAGATAAAAATATAGCTAAAAGACCAGGCTAAATATACCCATATTTATTGTTTTTGTATTATTTTACTTCACCTAGTTATTCTCATTCAAGAGTAGGCACTTTGTGCTGGTGTTAAATTATTCTAAACTTTTTCAACTGACTGTATAATAATTTCAAACATCAAATAATAAACTAACTTCTTAAGAATTATTAGTACTGTTACTAATTAATGACATTTATTTTTAAGTTGCAAACATAATATGTTTTGCTAATTACTTTTAGAAAACAGAAATTGAAGGAAAAATACTCAAAATAAAATGTCATTCAATTAAAATGAAAGAACTTTTTAATTAGACAAATACAATGATTCTTTCATAGCAGTACAGTTAGCAACTAGCCTTATTTTCCAACTTTTCTGATGCACTATAATTTTTATCTTTTCATTACCACTATTTATTTATTATTATTTCAGTTTATCATCATCATTCTATTTTTTTTTGTCTTATTTTTCTTATTTACTGTACATATTTAGTCATTGTAGTTTAGAATCCTATTATTACTACCTTTTTTAAAACTAAATTTTATTAAAAGATTTGCAGGGGGAGAGTGTATGTGTGCAATTTTCCTACTGACAATTGCACCCTGTATTGAGTTTTATTTCCCAGTCCACAAACCAATTTCCTTTTTCTCTTACATACCTGTCCATGCAATTACTGACTATAAACTTTTAAAACATCTGTACAGCTTTAACACTGGTAATGTCTGATACAACAGAAAGGAACTTCTATATATAATGTCCCTTTAAGAAAGGAACTTCTTTCCATTGTGAACATTTTTAAACGTGGAAAACTGATTCAGCAGTTCCAAGTGTTTCAGGAGTTGCAGATTATTTGCAAAGATCTACAGGTTGCTGATTCTTATTTTAAATGCTTAACAAGTTTAGTTATTAATGTAGCGTATTTCTCTTCATGGTTAATTTTGAATATACAGATCATACTTTTTCAAATTATGTGTTAGAATTTTCTTTATTGTTCCTTTCTGCTGCAATTTTAACAAAATCATTATCATTCAAAATATGAAAAATTGATTTCATTTCAGTCTTTACTTATTTAGTAATATCTACAATGTGTCTCAAATACATCTATATTCTTGAATAATTTGAAAAGCTCTATTAAAAAGTACCAGGATAGTAGTTTTGTTTCACAGTTTCATTTATAGATTATATTTTAATAATCAATTTGTGTGCAATATGTCATACTTGAGAAATTATACATATTTAATATAACTCTAGTTATTATTATTTTATAACATCTCTCTAACTTTCTGCTTATAATGTGGAATAAAGAAAAAAGCAGAAAAAAAAGAAAAGCATTCTTGAAATGATTTGAAACACTCCTTGATTCTTTGATTGATTAATATCAGAAGTTCCATTAATGTACAAGAAAATTGATTTTACATCTAAATATATTTTTTCTAGTAGATGAATTGGAACATTTTCTAGTAATAAATTAAGTTTTCCTGTAAAATTATTTCATAAATGATTTTTATATGAAACAAATTTAGAGTTAAGCTATTTTTAAAATTGAAAGGTAGTTATTTATTTTAACCAACTTTTGATTTTGGAAATACAGTAGACTCTCCATTAACTGGAACTCAAGCAACTGACAAAAATTTGAAGACAATACTTTAAATAGAAATTAATTTTATTTTAATTTTTATCAGAAATTTTTAAGTTTAAAGTTGGCATGCTGTGAGTAAACTCATGCTTTGCATACCATGTGTTTGTTTCCTACTCCCAGTTTATTGACTGCCATTTAACTAAAATTGCACACTCATTCACAAAGCTGTTTTTATAATAAAATTGTGTTACATTAAGTTAAGTTTGTCTTTTATCTTAATTTACTTTTAATTACTGTATTATTTCCATATTAATATTAAATCAATACAGAATTTTTGGTATATAGTGTGGGATATAGTATTAGGCCTATTTTTAATAGTAACTCTCAAGCACCAGAGGCTACATTTATTTAGCCCCATGGGTACTGGTTAACTGAGTCTACTGTTTTTGTATGATTCTAAAACTATAACTATTTAATATTTCTTTATTATAATATGATAAAATGTTTTTTTATAAATGTAGATATTTTCTTTTAAATACAGTAAAATCTTGCTTATGTGTCCATTCCTAATATTCCCTTATAAAACTGTGTAAGTTAACTGTGCTACTTCATTAGGCTCCTTGGTTTTTTTAATTTTGTGTGTGGCCATCCATCGGTAATATTCCTTTCGTCTGTCTGGTAGGCCTTGCAGGAGAGTCTCCAAGTCAGGGACAATGTTCATATTCTCTGCCTTAGGAGGAGGTACAAACTTAGGTCCATAGTTCAAAACTTCTACGACGAAATCAGGTAACTGTAGGTCATATAATAAATGGGAATGTGGGATGTTCCTGACCCTTGGGCACTTGAAATCTTAGGATCCATTGGAGTTTTTTGTGATAACATTTCCTCAGGTTGATAGTTATTCTATCATGTATTGCCACAGCTTTGCATTTTCCTGAGCTAAGGTATTTGGGTTTTGTCTGAAGAGTGCATTTTTAATTTCTACTAGTTCTGCCAATTTAGAATAAATGGTTTTCCTTGATATTTGAATGGCCCTATTTAGGCACATCTGCCTCACTTTATTGAGTAGTGGCTAGCTACCAGGTGGAAGGCAGATGCAGAAAAAGGACGTGAGTAGCAGTCCTTTCTTCTTACAGTCAGTCAGAAATTCATATCTGGCTCTAGCCTTAATTAAACTTACGAGTGTTCTATTATAACGATTAGCTGGCATCACTAACTATTAAATACTCACAATGAACAACACTGAGGTGAATTAAAGTATGTCTCTAAAGCCTGTTACCGGTGTGCAACTCAAGTGATATTTATCTTTATTTATGTGGTCAATGGAATAGGAAAACTCAATGTTTCCAAATTCAACGTATTGTTTAAGTACTGTAAATGGAATTGACCTTTGTTTTGCTAAGTTTTGTTATAGTTTTGCTAAGTTCCCACAGGTTACATTCATAAAAAATAAATGTATCAGGCATTTCAGTTTTTTTATATAAACAAATAGTACAAAATAATTATATTTTTGTAGTTATTATGTACATGTTGTTACAATACAATATTGTTAAATAAGATTAAGTAAATATGCAATTAAAAACATTTTCATAAAACATACTTATTCCATGGCTAATGCATTATGATAATCACAGTGTCTTAACTGCTTGCTTTTGTTGAAAATTTTGTATAAAAAATGTTTTGTATTAAAAATTACAGCTAAAGAGTAAACCACATATGGTATTCACTGATGTTCTTGACTGTACAGGAAATGCCTTATCTTCAAACTCCATGTTATCTGACTCCTGACTCATCCATTCACTATATTAAGCTGAATAATCAGAAATCTATTACAGGTACCTTGACTTACGTCGTTTCGAGTTACGTCGTTCCCGATTAATACGTCGTTTGTCAAAAAAGTATACGAAAAAATAAAAATCAAGTTTAAGTCATTTTATTCGACTTTACGTCCGTCCGCCACAAATATTGAAGTCGTAATATCACTAGAAAAGCGTTTAAAGCACATAAAATCATATTAAAATATACACATTTACAAGTATATACTGTATTTACAGTACAGTACATGCATTCATAAATTTAGAATACTTTTTTCTGTACTATATTAAAAACTAAAATTTATTTGTTTGTAAGCTTAAAATAGATTCTTATTAACCATATATTATTAAAAATGCATTAATAAATAAAATACAGAACTGGGAATAGTAATTTATAGTTTAGCCTAGTGACAAGTAGATTCGGAGACAAGTAAATTCGACTTACATCGTTTTTCGACTTAAGTCGTTTTCCTATAACCAATTACCGACGTAAGGCGAGGTATACCTGTATATATATTATATATATATATATGTAATTTAATTTTTAAACTTTTGTTTTAAAATTTACAATATACATAAATTATATGATTACGTTCATATTTATTTCAGCTTTATATTCTCTTTACAGGATGAAAGAGAAAGAATAGAAGAGCTAAATGGATGTGTAATGTACATAGGAACTTGGAGAGTAAATGGAACTTTAGCAGTTTCAAGAGCCTTAGGTATGATAAGTTGATATTGTAATACTGTTTGTTTTATAAGTTTAATTATATAATTTTTAAATTTTGTGAAAATTTTATTCTTATATAAGGATGTGTGATGCAAAACAGCAAAAATATTTTCTGATAGAAGTGAAGTACACTTGGGATAGTATTTTTGATGCTATTCAATTCAAAACATTTTTAATCTGTTTTATTTCATTTCACATTCACTGTTTTTTTATATGAAAAAATTTAAGGGTTTTCACCTAGATCAGAACTTCTTAAACTTTGTGTTTACAGACTAGTTTTTTTTTTTTTTTATTCTAAGCCCTCACAGACCAGTATTTTTATGAAATTTGATTCTAATCATTTTGAAAAAATGGATTTGTGAACCATTTTCAAATACCATGTTTACTTGCATATAAGACAAGATTTTTATTTATTTTTCACTGTTTCAAAAACCTAGGTTGTCCTTTACACACGAGTGAAGGATTCTTTGCATTTTTCAATAATTTTTGTGAACTGTGTATTCGCATTTTTTACTTGATGCTCACCCTCTGATGTTTAAAAACCAAAGTATTTTATCTAGGTCATTTGAATTGTTCTTGTGTATTGTCAGGATTAAAGATTAATAGCATCAAGAAAAGTAAAGCTTATGAATTGAATTGCAAATTGAAATTCCAAAATCACACGAGAGCTTGATATAAGTTTTAATCCATTCCAAGTGAAAACAGATGATTATTCGAAAATTAGAATTCAGAATAACTCATAAGTGTAATCGATGGAGAATGGATTCGACTGTTAATAATTGGCAAAAAAAGTTCTCAGTTGTCCAGCTTTACATGAACACATTATGTTGTCAATTTTACAAGATTTTTCCCTAAAGTTTATAATGCCAGTAATTTTTGTGGGATTTACGTGCATTTGATGTTTCATTTGTGATTAAATGAAATTAAGTTAGAATTGTATTAATAAATCTAATTTTCTTTATTTTGATGTTTAAAGTCACACCTTGTCCTATATGCAAGATCGTCTTATATGCAAGTAAGTATGGTAATTTTCTGGCCTGATTTCAATTGCCAGTGGTACTAAATGTTTAAGTAAGAGATGTGTAAGTAATAAAATAAAATATTTTTAAAGATAATTTTAAATAGTTTTATTATTGTAACTAGCAGATGAGCCTGGCATTGCTCAGGCAAGTAATGGAGAATAAACTTACTTGATGATAACCTTACTTGAATAAAATGATTAATTTTAAATTCAAAACTCTAAAAAAAAACTTGTTTGAAACATTACGTTTCAAATTGTTCAAATTTGGAACCAATTCAAATATTCGTTCAAATTCATTTATTTTGGATTTATTGTTTTTGGGTTACCCAAAGAGTGGAAATGATTAAAATATTTATTAATTTCCAAAATGTATACTATATCTGCCACTATTTACTTTCCTTCTTTATTATTTACACTTTATACTGATTAAAACTCTCTCCTTTTCCCTCGGAAAGTTGAATTTCCAAAAATCTCTTCTTAATGTGCATTTCATGGCATACCCTACTAAAACACAGTCAAACATGCAAAAAACCACATTTAAAATAGTATAGTAGAAGCCGAGTTCTTCAAGGTAATTCTTAATCCTCCACCTCTTCCCTGCAGGGAGATTTCCAAAAATTTCTTATTACGGTGAACTCTCATACCCTACTAAAACGCAGTTAAAATTTAAAGATTGCATCTAAAATAGTACAGTAGAAGCTGAGTTCTTCAGGATAAGCCTTAATCCTCTTTCTCTCTCTCTCTCTCTCTCTCTCGCAGGGGGGATTTCGAAAAATCCCTTCTTAGTGTACATTCTTGTGATGTATGTACCCTAACTGTGTACCAAATTTCAACTTTCAACTCAGCCATTTGGGCTCTGCACTTATTATTATCATCTATTATCTATACTAATATTATAAAGAGGTAATGTTTATAAGTTTGGATGTAGCGGGTAATCTCCGAAACTACTCATCCGCTTTCAAAAATTCTTTTACTAGTACAGGTAACCCCCGTATAACACAGTAGTTACTTTCCAAAAAATTGCCGTGTTATGCGAATCTGTGTTATACAAAACAAAGAACTAGTACGAAAAGGAGGGTTAGGTTCCAAAAATTAAAAAACATGCTATTATATTTTCATAATTAAGATAAATATCTTTATTAAAATTTTCTTAAGTGATACATATTAATATAAATTAAACAATGTTTTCTTCGTCATCACTAAAAGCATTATTAACTGAAAGCTTTTTGGCAAGTTATCCTTATCCTCTGAGCATTTTTCTGCATTATCTTCAGATCCATGCTTTACCTTTTGCAAAAAGTATGTAATTTTAGATTGCTTGCATCTAGTTAAAAGATCTTTATAAATTTCCTTATATGATGCTAAGCATTTATGGAGAATAAAGCAAGTATGAAATAAGGGAAAAACATCTGGCAACATCAGAAGCAGAAGCGTTGAGATCTGGCAACATTGAAACAAGTTTTGAGAAGGACCATGTGTATTGAAATTCCAACAAGAAAAGAAAATTTACATACTTAAGTATTAATAGTTCACGAAAATAATTTTCGTGAACTATTATTACTTAAGTACGTAAAAATTTATTACATTTCATGTTGTACGAGGGTTTTACCCAATTCTCGAACCGTGTCAGAGTGAATCCGTGCTATAACAGTGCTTTGTTATACGGGGATGGAACCAATTCTCGAACTGTGTTAGAGTGAATCTGTGCTATATAAGTGCCGTGTTATACGGGGGTTACCTGTATATAGTACAGCGTATGAATGCACATGGGGCACTTCTTATGACATCTTTGATTGGCAAACTGACATTTTACGTTGCTTTGCACAATATTCTGTTTTTGTGTTGCAATATAAAACAATATAAATTAAATTAATAATAAGAAAAATAAGCAGATGATACTTAAATTAACTGATTGGACAGATGATGTGGTATTCTGGCAAAGTATTGAGAATTAAACTTTAATGTTTTGCAGTGCATAAAATATTTTATTGATTTGAGACTTCAGATTTTTTGGTAATATTACTAGAAATAATGGAATTATTTACTCACTTTTTATTTATATGATTTTAACAAATAAAATTTAAAGAAGCCAAAAAGCAACAAACTCTTACATCCAGTCCCAAGGGAGCATCCCAGCTTATCAGGAGCTAACACTTCGAAAGTGCCTATTAAAAAATTTCAATTCTTTGGAAGTCTGCTAGTTCCAAAAGTCTAATTCATTCTACATGTTTTGAATTCCAACCAACCAAGCAGNGGTGCTATGCATTTATGAAGAATAAAGAAAGTATGGAATAAGAGAAAAACATCTGGCAACACCAAAATCAGAAGCGTCAAGATCTCGCAACATTTAAACAAGTTTCGAGAAGGACCATGTGTATGGACAGAAGGCAAGAAAAGAAAATTTACATACCTAAGTACTAATAGTTCACGAAAATTATTATTTTTGTGAACTATTATTACTTAAGTACGTAAAAACGTATTACATTTCATGTTGTACGAAGGTTTTACCCAATTCTCGAACTGTGTCAGAGTGAATCCGTGCTATAGAAGTGCCGTATTATACAGGGGTTACCTGTATTTAGAATGGAATTTCAGGGTGGACATAGGCTGTATATTATTCCGGTAAACATTCATATAAATTAAAAGATATCATCTAGGTTAAGGCTTTTGTCCGACAGGTGGCGCTACGAGTACAACAACCTAAGTTTGCTTTTCTGTGATGATGAACTAAAGCAGATCATCTTCTATCTATCTATATAAATAAAAATGTAATGTTCGTTTGTTCCTACCGATTTTTTTGAAATTTTGACACTACGTTGTATTTGAATATGCACATGTTTTTATATAATATACATCGAAATTCCCCTCCCCCACTGGGGGGAGATGGTTAGGATTAAAGCTTACCATAAAGAACTCTGCTTTCATTATACTATTTTAGCTGCATTTTTTTTGCATTTTTGATTGCATTTTAATAGGGTACATCAACAGAATGTACACTAAAAAGGGATTTTTCAATATTCCCCCAGCGGGGGAGAGAGACAGGATTAAGGCTTACCGTGAAGAACTTGGCTTCTATTATACTATTTTAGATGCCGGTTTTTGCGTTTTTGATTGCGTTTTAATAGGGTACATCAACAGAATGTACACTAAGAAGGGATTTTTCGATATTCTCCCGCGGGGGAAAGGGACAGAATTAAGGCTTAC